CCTCGTAAACCTCGTAAATTTACGAGCCTCGTAAAAGAACTGTCAAAATTTGTATGGAGCTCTATTTACGAGCCCCTTGTAAAATTACGAGGCAAATTTGATGCGCAAATGACCTCGTACACTTCAGTATTGCCGAGGAGCGGAAAATTATATACTAAAATGTATTTTATAATATTGAAAATAAATGAAAAATAATAATATGTGAATAAAAAGAGTGAATTTCATCCACTAACAGTACTATCATGAGTTTTCTGCTAATTTTCGGCATTTTTAATTTTATCTTAGCTAATACTGGTAGAGACAAGATGGCGGGATGTTATGGAAAATACTACGAAACAAAAATTGCTTCACAAAATCCTGGTTTATCTGTCAAACAGTCAGTTTACGCACCTTTTCACAAAGGGGGCGTTCCCGTAAAAGCCTCGTAAACTTACGAGTTTTACACAGTTTAAGACTTTAAAAGTTTAAGGGAATCCCCTAAATGATTAATATTCATATTCATTATTAATTAAAGCATGTTTTTTTGGATAACCGTTTAATGATTAAATACCGATATTACCACCTGATTAATAATTAATTACTTAAAAAAATTTTAATTAATTCATTAATTTTAATTTTGTCATTATTTTGTTATTTTTGATCATTTTCAATTATTTTTGACTTTATTTTATTTTTGATTCTATATTATTGATGAATTCGTCTTATTCTTTCACTCCCAAAGTAGTGGTTTTGATCCATAATTGGACTGGTATTTTTCTGTCTATTTTCAACTAGTATGAGACTGGTATATATCTGACCGAAATCTGACAACTGCCATCTCGTAGGACATCCCCACGTTAAAAATACCAGTTGATTGCATGGAAAGAAGATAGTTGGCTGACTAGTTGGGCATGCGGTTCATACTAGTTGTGAGGTAGTTTACAACTACATATTTCATTTGACTACAGGGTGCTTATGATTATGCACATTCTATTTTTAGCACACTTTGGCGTATGTGTGTGTGTACGCTACCGTGTTTTTACTCCGATCGAAGTTTTACACTCCTGCACTCTTTGACAAAATCACTTCGAATTTAAGCGATCAGAATTGACCAACAAATTTTTTGATCTTGTTTTTACACATTTTAATAGATGCCTACATACATACATATATTTATGTACCTCTCAAGACAGCATCAGACTTTCCCAATAAACATTGTGGCGAACGTTCGATAATGACCTTCGATATCCAATATGCATATCGAACCGAGAACGAGCTCATAACCAACCTTAGTTTTCCAACGTTCATAGTGTATTGGAAATACACTCGAAATTGGTTCGAAAATAAAATCAGAACTATAGTAACAAGAGAGAAAGTTGCGTATTTTAATGCTTTTGGAAATTTTATGTTTATTATAAAGTTTCATTTTTTCAACTAAAGCGGGTCGCGCGTTTGTTTTCGGGAAAATAAAAATTTGTAACTAGCAATTTAGATAATAATATAATTTATATAAAATGAAAACTTCAAAAAAAAATTAGACGTGAAAGCAGTGAACCTTCGTTATCCAACGTATTTTACCTTCGTTATGAATTCGAAATCCAGGTCATTCTCAAAGGGAAATATAAGACAATCACTCTCTCTCATTAAAATTTCCCTTCGATAATGGGCTGGATTTCGAATTCATAATGAAGGTAAAATACATTGGATAACGAAGGTTCCGTTTTGCTGGAGAATGGCCTAGTTCTCGAATCGAATAGGAACCTATTTCCACATTCATTATCGAAGGTGAGACTTGAAAAAAAGATTAGTTTTCCAATCATTTTCGAATTGTTAACCAAGCACAATGTTTATTGGGTTGTGTTTTACTTTTATTGGTTGACAGCCCCAATTTACAAAAGTATTTGTTGGTTTGAAAGCAGCAGAAATGTAAGTTTTGAATTCTTTTCATATTTTTAAATAATTGTAATTATTTAAACGCGTTTTTTTTTGTAGCATATCGAAGAGGAGTGGTATTAAACGGTGGGTATTTTACTTAATTTGAATTAATTTTAATAGCATGTTTTACAGGAAAAATAAGAAGGGCTGTCACGATTATAATAAAACTGCGGGATCATAGTATTGTTGTAATGCTATCTGAATATGCCATTAAATTTATAGTTTGACAGTTGACAGCTGTCAAATCAACTGACAATTTTTCTAAAATTAAGAAAATCTTTTTGAGAATAGCACTGCTTACGTTTTTTGACATGCTGATCACGAATTTTATGTCAAATTAGAACTTTGAGAGTTGACAGCTCTCAAATAAATTGTAAATTTTTCTAAAAATAAGCAAATTCGTTGAAATTTCAACGGGAACGGGGTACTTTTTAATGATAGTAAGCATTTTTAATATCAAAAGATAAGAGTAAACTCGGAAATTCTGAATGTTCTCCAAAAGAATAAGTAATGAAATTCTTAGCCAGTCAAAATGATTTAGGAGTGTAATGGGTAAGTTGAGTTCAAGTCTGAATCACTCACAACTGGCATCGATGTATCGTCAATTTAGCGATTTTAGGAAATTGTAAACATCGATGGCAAACATTCAATTTTGAACCGATATATTCGATGCATCGTTTGCATCCCTATCCCTGAGTATATCATAACATAGTCAACAACGTCGTACTATTTTAATATTTTTTTTTAATTACTCTCTTTATTTTTGAAAAATTTTACAGTTTACAATACTCCAAAAATGGAATGTGAATTATGTAAATGTTTTAGGCTTGTATTATATATGTAGATACGTTTTGCTTATTAGTAGTTATATTTTCTTGTTTTAATTTTAACTGGCACTTAAATTTTAAATAAATCATTAATTAAGTTAGCTTGATGTTTAGCTAAATATTAATACATACATACATACATTCGATAAACGCATTTGCATTCTTTCGCCGATACATATCGAACTTTGAAACTTTAACGGCATATAAGTATTGACGAGAAGTGCTTATGTCTCAGTTTTATACTTAAATATTTATGTATGTATAATATGAACAATTGTGTGAAATTAACTTTCGCACTGACTGTGAAGCTTTCGTTATTAAGCATAAAGATTAGGGTTTAGAAAGGGCTTTTCGATTATCTTATACCATAAGGATATAATTATGCGTCTTTTTAGTAAATACATATGTATCTGTGCACGTATGCATGTATATTTGGCACGGCCGTTTCACGCTTTTTCGCTCTCTGACATGCGCCTTGCTTTTGTTATATGAAGAGCACCAGTTTCTGCGGTCGACGCACTTAGCGAGCTTTTTCTCTTTAACCCCCTTACATTCCATAGAATGCAAGCAATGCTAAAATATTTCCTGCAGTTAAACAATTATAGTTTGGTTAAAATTCCATCGCCCTCTAGTACTCTCTCTGTGGGCCAAGTTTACACTAGTTTATTTGATCTTCCTTCGTCCATCGCCGCTGCGTAAATTCGACGAAAGTGCGGACTTAGAGGCACTTGTAGTGGATGAGTGCCTAAACGATGACTGATCGTCTTTCAGGTGATCATGCCGCCGCAATGTTCGAGCGGTAGGCGTTTCTGATTTCTTGCTTGGACGTGTGAGAGTACTTGAACTACCCATGTGTGGCTTTCGAGGCATCGTTGCCATCTGTAATAGAAATGGAAAGATTTTTCTGTGCCATTAGATTTCTTTCACCTTAATTTCAATGAATGTCTCACTCGTTTATTTTGCTCTTGGGAGTAGTTGATCTCGTATCCTTCGCTGATTAGTTTCGGCTTCCATGGAGCCAACATCGACACCGATCGAGAGACAGTGCGTGTCATCGGCTGTAATGGTTGTGGTTTCCCCTTGTTCGAACGAAGGTCGTCTCGGGATATGGAACGACGTCTCAAATGATATGGCTGTGGTATGGCACCAACTGTCGTAGCGTGCAGGTAGACAACGCTGCGCTGACTTTGTAAACTGGACTCTCCTTCAGTACCCGAACTCTCTGCCGGAAAGTGATCACGTTCTCTGAGAGAATTAATAGTATACAAAGGCGAAATTTTGAAGCTTTATCTCTTATTGAGACTTACCTCGATAAAGAAGACGCCACACGACGCTCGGCACTGCGCGCAGGCTTCGGAGGCGCCATCAGATGATTTTGAGTTTTCCGCATGTCTCTTTCATTTCCACCTGCAGCAATACCATTCGGCGTAGAAGTAGTCATGGCCAAAGGTGTGCTGTGGCGATCGTTGCTGCGTCGATAGGTGTGGTCGTCATACCGATGTGAACGATCCAAGCGCTCGCGTGATAGGGTGCGAGACCCACTCACCCCGCCATTTGGACGCTTATTTTGGTCCTCGGTTTCGGAGCCACTCTCTGAGATGTCATCTAAATCACGTGAGCGTGAGTAGTGCCGACGTTTACGAAAATCGACTTCATCGCCACCCACACCGCCATTTTCCAAATTATGCATTGAAGAACTTTTGAGTCGCGAGCCACCAACACCAACCGTCTGCGTGGCGGACGAGAGGGTTCTACGGTAATCGTTTTGCTGTGGGTTGGTATTGAGGCGGTCCAAATGGTAAGCGCTTTGCGAGTACTTTTGCGTCCGGTTAAGTGTGGATGGTACTAAGGGTCTTGTTCTAAGAAGAAATAGATATTAGATGATAATATGTGTATGTACGTATAGAGTTCATCTTACTTGAGAGTGGTATTAGCTTTGGTTATGGTTGGCGGATTCGAATCGAGATCTGTATCACCGAAGAAACGCAAATTTTTTGGTGGAATTGGTGGTGGCGCTGAGGTAGTTCTTCCAGAATTTTTAGTACGCTTCATAGTGGAGGATTCGCTTTGGCCATTAACCGAAACGTCGAGCTATGAAAGAGAGATACATAGATATATTAGTTAAGTAGAAAAAGTTTATACGTATGTAAGCAGATGTTTGCCGAAATACATATATGCGTTTAGCTTGATTGGTTCAAACTATCTTAGTAAGAAATCATATTAACAAAGATCTCTAAAAAAGGATAATAAAAATGAAAAAAGGCAGAGTTTAGTTAAATATTTTTATGTTGCTTATTATAATTTGGCATATAATTTTATGAAAGCGTTTGCTAAATAATTTTAAGGTCGCAAATTTTTTCCACATATTCACATTCTACGCTGGGGGAGAGGTGGGAGGGGGGTTAGCCAGTTAATAAATCTCCCACAATTTACTACAAACCCGTTCAATTGCTGGCGTATGCCGAGGACATCGACATCATCGGTAATAAAAACCGCGAAGTCTGTTCAACCTTTACCAAGAGGGATAGGGAGGCAAAGTAAATGGGTCTGGTGGTCAATGAGGACAATACGAAGTCATCAAACAGTCAGCGTGTTTCCGCCTTGCCGTCCACGTTACTGCTGATAGCTAGAAGTAAATTCGTTTACTTGGGATCCAGCATGCCACATTCGAAATCCAACGCAGAATCATTCTTGCCAACAAGTGCTGCTTTGGACTGAGTAGGCAATTCAGGAGTTAAGTCCTCTCTCGACGTACGAAAACCACACTCTATAAATCACTCATCACGCCCGTGCTGATATATGGCGCAGAAGCATGGACAACAACAACGTCCGACGAGGCGGCTCTTGGAGAATTCGAGAGAAGATTTTCTGGAGGACTTACGGGCCTTTACGTATTGGCGGCGGCAAGTACCGAAGACGATGGAACCATGAGCTGTATGAGCTTTACAACGAATCAAAATACAGCGGCTCCGCTGGCTTGGCCATGTCGTTCGAATGGACACCGACGCTGCAGCTCTGAAAGTATTCAACTCGGAGCCCGATGGTGGTAGCAGAGGAGGAGGGAGGCCACCACTACGATGGACAGAGCAAGTGGAGAAGGACTTGGCTTCATTTGGCATTTCCAGTTGGCACAGAAAAAAGCGACTGGCATACTTGGTTGAACTCGGCCAAAATCGCTTAGGTGGTTACAGAGCCAAAGAAGAAGAAGAAATAAATCTCCCGTTTCCGTTTTTGTTATAAAAATTTTACATTTCTCCGTTACAAAATGTTCGTGAACATTCGGAAGAGGTATGATAGTCTTTATACAATACTAGCAGTAGGGACACGAATTTCGATACGATACCATATCGATATTTTTGCCATTCGATACCGGTACTTTTTACTCGATAGTTTTCAAAACGATATTTTTGGAATCGAGTACCAGATCCCTTTTATCGTATCGAATCGTAAAATATACATTACAAAGTTAATGTAATTAACAATATATTGTACATTGTATTAAAAATAATTGTATTTTATTAGGAATAGTACATATGGGCATTTCCAATCTTGCGTGGCGTTACAAAATGTTAAAAAATAAAATGAAAGCGTCAGAAATTAAAAACTCTGGTAACTGGGCAATAATACTGTCAGCCTTGAAATCCAACGGAGAGTCCTTCTTGCCAACAAGTGCTACTGGACTGAGTAGGCAGCTGAGAAGTAAAGTCTTCTCTCGTCGTAAAAAATCATCATGCCTGTGTTGATGTATGGCGCGGAGGCATGGGCAATGAAAACATCTGATGAAGCGGCTCTTGGAGTTTTCAAGAGAAAGATTCTGCGCAGGATTTATGGACCTCTTTGCGCGTTGGCGATGGCGAATACCGCAGACGATTTAACGATTAGCTATATGAGCTTTACAACGATATAGACGTAGTGCAGCGAATTAAAATTCAGCGGCTTCGCTGGCTAGGTCATGTCGTTCGAATGGACAGAAACGCTGCATCTCTGAAAGTATTCAACGCGGGTCGCGATGCTGGTAACAGCGGAAGAGGACGGTCTGCATTGGAAATACCAGGTGGAGAAGGAATTGTCTTCACTTGGCATTTCCAATTAGGGTTGCCAACCTTTTCTAAGATATTTATAGTACTCTCCCAAAAAAAAATCTCAAAAAATATAGTACACTTCAAAATATAGATATAGTATTATACTTTAAAGAAAAAGTAAAACGCTTTTTAAGTATATGTACATCCTTTTTATTTCTTATGCATTCCTCTTTAAAAAAATATATTTCTTTGAAATAATCATTTAGCTAGCTTATAGTGAAAATCCACTTTTTATGAAAATTCATATTTTCATACAGGAGGCATGACAAATTAAAAATGCATCGTTTCGAAAAGCGTAAAGGTCCTTGTTTTATGTTTTCTCGTTGATATTCAATGAAAGCAAAATTTGCTAAGTTTAAAAAAGCTTAGAAAATTCGACAAGGCCAATATAGTACGAAATATTTTAGTAAAGATCAAATCCCTCTGATTCGTATGGAGTTTCGCTTTGCTTTAAACAGGCAAAATGTTGTATTCAAAAGTTTTGGAATATTTGAAGAAAATGGCTACAAGCAGTTTTTTCCTCTCTTGTACAATTTTTAAATTGGGACTTAGCAACTTTTCACTCTAAGCTAGCGATATGCTTTATCGCAATCAATATTTAAATTAATATAAATCAGAAGTTCATTTTTTTATTAGTGAGGCAGTCGCGTTTTTCTCTCGTCACGCCATTTCACATTCATAATAGAAACAACCCTTTGAGGGAATGCCGAAGTTGCCGGAATAGAGAGCAGAAATAAAATGAAATAAAATAATTTTAATTAAATTTTGTAATTCATTCTAAGTATTTTTAAAAATGTTGCCATTTTTGATTTGTGGTTCTATTAATAAACTAGAGCTGTAAAACTATCGATGGTACTATCGATACTATCGAATGGTTCTATTTTTTTGCACTATCGAATGGTCGTTGGCCACTATAAATATAAATATTATTATATTATTATAAATATATTATACTATATCTACTACTTAGTATGCATTTCTTTATTTTTGGAAACGGGAATTTGGCAACATTGACTTGCTTACACATCACTATTTTTTTTACCTATTGCCGGGTTTTACACGGTTCAAGTATTGAATTCGTTTCTGCTTGCCAGTGGAAGAGATGTGTTGAGAAGAAAAGGGAAGAGTACATACGCGTCTGGAATTCAACAAAATTTAAGCGTGTAAATGCAAATAGGAAACGCAAAAGACAATGAACCAGAATTGCTTTAAAGTACTTGAATCATGTAAATCGGGTGTAACTAATTTGAAAAACAACTAGTTTTAATATCTTTTTGGAACCATACTATGGTGTTGGTGATTCTGCGTCGATTGAAGAAACTATTTATATAAGCCAGGGCTAGTAAAATTTTGGAGATTCTTGTTTTTTATATCATGTATAAGTCGGGGTACGGTTCGGCTATTTGTACAATGATTTGTGTTCTTGTAACGCACGCTTGAAATATGGACTTTTCTGTAAATTTTGGAGTGAGTTCTATGCAAAAATACTGTGGCATCGCCGGAGCTGGACTGATGAACATTTTTTGTAATACATACAGTTTTCTTTACGTTCACAAGCGATTTGTTTTTCTACGATTGGGAATTTTAGGTTTTTATATTATAGGTTTAAAATATTTAAAAAATCGAAGAGAAAGGACAAAGATACTGAAAATCGCCATATAACAATTAGCTAATTCTTCAGGAACTAAATAAAACTAAATGTTTGTATAAATAGCTTCGCCAATGCACTCTAAAATTTTCCGATACTATCGATAGTATCGATAGTTTCAATGCAAACTATCGAAAACATCGAATGGTATGACTATCGATAGTTTTACAGCTCTATAATAAACTCACTATGATCTTTTATTTAAAACGATATTTCTTTTAATATTGTTATTTCAATATTTCCAGTTGGCGTCAGTTGGCACAGAAGAGAAATAACTGGCGTGCTGTTTTGGAAAATAAATAATATAAAAAAAAGTAAGTTCGCCTGGGCCACACTGTAGAAGTGAAACTTACGTCACTTATCTATCTATACATACACGCATCTGCTTTTGCTTAAGGTTATATTTTTTCGCATTTTTTCTATCAATGTAGATCCCTACCTCTACCACTGTTAATTACATTCATGCTATTCTGTTTTTCCATTATCTTCATTTTTATCATTATACTCTATCGATAACAAAATCGATTATAACGTCCATCAAAATACCGATACCAAAATCGATGACAAATTCGATAAAAATTTCAATAGCAACATCGATAATACCATTGGTAGCTAAATCGATTAGAAAATCGATAAAAATATCGACAACAAAATCGATAAATATTGATAACAAAATCGATAAATATTGATAACAAGTTCGATATATATCGATAACAAAATCGATAAATATCGATAACAAAACCGATAAATATCGATAACAAAATCGGATAAATAAAATCGGTAAATATCGATAACAAATCGATAAATATCGATAACAAAATCGATAACAAAACCGATGAAAATATCGATNAATATTTAAAAAATCGAAGAGAAAGGACAAAGATACTGAAAATCGCCATATAACAATTAGCTAATTCTTCAGGAACTAAATAAAACTAAATGTTTGTATAAATAGCTTCGCCAATGCACTCTAAAATTTTCCGATACTATCGATAGTATCGATAGTTTCAATGCAAACTATCGAAAACATCGAATGGTATGACTATCGATAGTTTTACAGCTCTATAATAAACTCACTATGATCTTTTATTTAAAACGATATTTCTTTTAATATTGTTATTTCAATATTTCCAGTTGGCGTCAGTTGGCACAGAAGAGAAATAACTGGCGTGCTGTTTTGGAAAATAAATAATATAAAAAAAAGTAAGTTCGCCTGGGCCACACTGTAGAAGTGAAACTTATGTCACTTATCTATCTATACATACACGCATCTGCTTTTGCTTAAGGTTATATTTTTTCGCATTTTTTCTATCAATGTAGATCCCTACCTCTACCACTGTTAATTACATTCATGCTATTCT